AAAATACAGGCAGAAAAATCAAAATTAGAAGCCAGCTGTATAAAACAGGTGTTCATCTTTTTACAAAGTCATTCTAATATGCTGAGGAAATAAAATTTTAAATAGATTACAATATACACAATTTTAGACTACAGAATTGCAACACTAAGAAATGGGACAACTTGAATACCAAGGTGGAGAAGAATAAATTATTCATCTTATTCTAGAATTGCAATACAGATCAGCAAACAGCAAAACATACTCTTCCAAGGATGCCTCATTCCTCCTCCTTACACTGCAAAAGTATACGGCAAAATATTCTGTTTTTTAAGCCCCCACAAATAAACGCTAACAGCGCCAGCATCTAACAGCCGATGGACACAGCTAGAGCTTGCAGAAAGCGTGAAGAACTCTTTGCTATAAATTTCAGCTCCTTTTGCCAATCCTCAGGTGCACTGTAAGAGGCTCCATCAAGAGAACAGTCACCAAATAAATTAAGATCAAGGCAAATGGCAAAAAAATTGTATAATTTAAGCTAGACAGAATAGACCTGCAGGGGAAAGGAGAGGAACTATGCTTAAGAATAATTTTTTATATCAGAACTGTTGCAAGGTCAAGTATGTAGATAAACAAACACTCAACTGAACCAGGTATTTAAGACTAAAACATGAAAACATATTGTGTGACAATATGAAACAAGCTGCCAAACTTCATAAAACATGTAGAAGAATTAGCAGTTTTACAAGGACTCTTCGGCTCTAGAAAGAACAGAAAGCCAAGTATTTCCAAAACACCAAAATAAACATGATCTTCACTCTTTGTAATTTTCTTTCCCCTTGGATAAAGCAGGCAGAATACTATGACAGAATAAGCATTTTAAGATCTGTATAGCTTGCTTCCGGTTGAAAAAGAAGTAGTACTAGATACAGATCTAAAGCTTGGTTTTGGTGTTAACTTATGTCCTTTTTTACCCCAAAACACCAAATGCTGCTTTGTCATAGTTTTATCATCTTCTGTACTTATTCTGACATTATTTCCTCCCTTTAACAGTTTGTTTTGCTACATGACAGTCTTTACTTACCACATTGTCCCTGCAGCAGACCAGATACTGACTACATCTTTGCTTTTCTTGTATTTGCATCTCATTAATGCTGCTGCTCAAGACTCTGCGTGCCCTTTGTGTTCTATGTCTTTGAGATACTTACAAGCAAATAATGGAGAAAGACATAACATCAGCTATGACGTAAAAACCGAAGTAGTAAAGACATCTCAATACCCAAATCTTTAGTAGAAGAATATTTAATCTGTATTTTAAACTCCACTGATATTGAGGCTAGATAGAGAAGCCTGAAATCCAGGTATTTCAGACTTAAAGGATTAATTACAGTAAACCTGACCAGATCATTGAAAGTATACCTATAAATAATATCATATTGCATAGTATAAGAACTGGTTTACTAAAATAAACAGTTTGTGTCACAACATACACATTTGACAGCTGCTTGATTCAGACAAGGGAAAGAAAATTTTCTTCTCCTAGTTGATGACTTACTAGAAAGTAAATACATTTATCAGTTTGATGAATGAGCATATCCTGCAGCTATTCCACGTATATTAGATAGCTTATTGTTCTAGCTAATGGGTCCATCATTCTGAAAATAATCTACTGTCTCCAACATTTCCCCTACGGTTAAGTTGGCATTCACAAGCATGTAATAGGAAGCAGTCACAGAAGCCTAATGTGATCTTCCAATTTAAAAATACCATTGAAAAGCAGTGATTAGTCACCGCCCAGGCAGCATGAGTAAGAAAAGGTCCACAAAGTTCTGTTTTGAAACTGAATTCTCTTCTTCCGATAACATGACTAGTGATTCAGAAGCAAAAACCAAATCTATATATAGATAGATATATGAGAAAAATAAGATCTAATAAAATTCTAATAAAATTAGAAAAAACTAAGGATCTACACGCACAGAATTTTTTAATCTAGGCCTCAGTAGATCCCCAGCATCTCTGCCTCTCACAGGATACACTGAAGGAGTTAATACCAGAACATTTCCAAATAAAGGAGCAACAATCTAGTAACAAAATACTTCCATCCTTATTTCTCCACTTCTGCAAAGATGGAATATTTGCCAATTAGTAACAGATGCACTGTAGTCTCAATAACAAATAGAGAGAATTAGATGTAATCAAAGTAACTGTGGAAGAGGCTATGGTGAAAACAGACAAAACCCACTAACTTGTTAACGAAATATTCAAAAATATGCACCCAAGAGTTTTAGGAGAACTTCCGTGATGCCTGGAGTTTAAATGTTGCAGTCTCTAAAAATAAAAAGGACTCCAAGGGGATTCAAACAACTTTAGTTCTGTGAGCCTGATGTTCATACCAAGTAACTTAACAGAATATATCCAAAGCTCAAATAGGTAGACAATAATCGGAAGATCAGCCTAGGAAGAAGTAACATGGCTTCTGCAGAGGGAACCTCTTGGGAGCTCTCTGAAGGGGTCAAGAAGCTTGTGAAGAATGGTGATTGAGCTGGCAGCCTCCGGATTTCCAAATAGGTTCTGTCAAAATACCTCAACTAAAGGTTTTTAAGAAAACTAAGGAGCTATAGCATAAGAGGAAGGGACCCAAAATGGATAAATAATTCTTAACCATAAATAGGGAGGAGCTGTTAAACAACCACTTCTCAGAAGAGCGGGATGTCACCACTGAAGTTCTTTAGGACCCTGGAGGTTTTGTTTTCACATACGATCTGCAAAAATGGGAAGAGCAATGAGGTCTGAAAGGTTGCTACTGGTGCAAAATTATTCAGGGTAATAATAACAAGAGCAGACTGAAGAACTGCACAGGGTCTTAAAGTCTGGATAACAGCTAATCAAATGGCAAGATGAGATTCAACTGGTAAACACAGGGAGAACGGTTTTAGCATCAGATATAGAATGACAGCCTCTGAGCCCACAAGCAGGATCTCGGGGCTTTGGCAGACAACTTCAAAAAAACATCAGCTCACCACTTGGCAAAAAAACCGAAGTGAAATATTGGGAGCCATTGGAAAAACAACAGCAAATAATCATGCCACTGTGCAAATCCATGGTTTGCTCGTATCTAGAGTAACTGTAGTTCTGATTCACTTACCGCTAAGAGGAAATAGTGTAATTGAAAAAGGTGTAGTGAAAGACAAAGGGAATTATCAAAGCTCTGGACAACTTCTGATCAAGTAGGCTGTGACTTTTCCAACCTGAAAAAGTAACCACGTAGGCAAAGCGTGACTGAGGTCTACGAAAATCACAACCGGCGCAGAGAGACCAGGCAGGATCTAGGAGCCGTTCAATGATGCTGTTAGGAGCCAGGTCCAGAGGAAACAAAAGGACACAGAGGAACACGGACCTACAGAACTCTGTAGAAGGACAATTCTCATACAAAGTTTTTACACAATATTAACGGAGGCCAGACAGGTATGTGGAACAGAGGTTATTACATACACAAACCATGGGATGCTGAAAAAAGCTTATATATGTAATTTTATATATAATTTTTTTATATATATTACTCAGAATATTTTGCAGACTTGTTCTCACAAATTTCATTTAATATCCTACCCAAGGCAAAAATTAGTAGACAAATTGTCTGAGTTTTGTAAACAATGTATGATTTATCAGGACACTAATTAAACATACAGTAATTACTTTTAAGCAATATTCCACCTGAAATGTTGCAAAAGCATGAAATGTCAAAGGGATTTGTGAATTACTTCTTAAAATGAAGTCCATTCAGAAACCCTGTTGTAAGGCCTTGAATACGATCATACTTGCAAACCTAAGATTACAAATTCTCAGAATAACAAGATAAAACTACCTTCTCAAAAGTTGAGTTTTGTGCACGCTAAGTTGTGTTTTAACTGTAAGAAGAATTAACTCCAGCACAAAGAACTCTTGATTCTATTTCCACAACCAGTAAAATATTTCATAATTCAATTGGTATGTGATTAAACAAATGTTTATTTCTGCAGCCTTTATACCGTGGTAATGCTTCATGGTTCAAGCTATGCCCACTGCATTATCCTGAACTCTATACACATATAACAAAGAGAGATCCTGCATCACACACACTATCTCCACAGTAAAGACATAGTAAGGCACAAAGGAAGAAAGCTGTCACAAATACAGAAAACAACAATAGCTTATATTTAATTTCTTCCCTCTGCTTTATGATACTAATACTTCAGGAAACTGAAGACATTGCTCACTACAAAAGAGGTTATCCTCTAAATAGTAAACCAAAATAAAGCCTGGTTTCCTACTGATGTGTGTGGGATCCCTAAGGTCTAATCAAAGTTGAGCTGAAGCATAGCATTTTCTTCAACACAACTTATGGTCTCTCCCTGTTATCTAATTTCTTATTGTCATTAAGTACGTAGAACCTTAATCCATGACTTCTATTCTTCTATCAGTTTTGGTTGAAATAGTCCAATATGTTTAAAAGCTGCTTCTGCACTCTATTAGGCTCCTTCAGCACACAGACATTCACAAATACACTCGTGCCCACAGGCAACCTAGAGCAGATCAACCCCATTTCTCCCAAATGAAGCTAAGGTAAGATGTGTTTAGATCCCAATTTAATCCCATGCATTGATGCAGAAGTTAACTTTAGTATCTGCCAGACACACTTTTCCTGCAAAACAGCAGAGTACAACAGAGGTAACGTCCAGGTAATGTTTAGCAGCTATGCACCCTTTGTTACATTAAACTGGTTAAGATTAGTGTACTGATTTCAATAATATAGAGACATTATATGATTGAAATTCAGGTGTTCTCCAAATGTTTTCCAAAAAAGCTGATGAAGTCCAATGTAAAGCTACTTGCATTAAAAAAAAAAGTATATTGAAAAATTCCTTAATCCTGCAACACACCATTTTCTTTAAAATCAACTTTAATTATACACCAATCACTAAAGTACAAGGCTATAGAAATTTATTTACATGCAAGTTACTACCAAAACATAAAGTTGCTCTTACCTTGAACTAGATCTTGACTTTACATCTTCCTTTGCTGCCCTTTCACTACTAACATCTTCATTGTTGTCCTGTTTTTTCTCACATAGTTGTTTTCTCTTCTCCCACTTCTTCTGCTGGTTTGAGATGCTTTCTGCTTCTCCTTGTGAGTCATTTTCTGCTCCTACCTGTGAACCTGAGGAATGTGCCAGGCACTTAGAGGAGATTGGCAGTTTTTGCTCTTCTCTACCAAAGTCTCCTTCTGCTAACAAAGCAGAAGTTTCAGGTTTTAATGTTTCCTGTGCAGGGACTGAATTGTCCAAGTTACCTACATGGTCCATTTCCTTAGACTTTACTAACGTGTATGAAGCATTTACAACACCTCCTGCAGAATGTTTAGTCTTTAAACCTTCAACACTGTCCTCCCTGCTGTCTTCACAGCTGCCACAACACACACAGGAATTAATTAGACAGTTTGTGGCAGCTATACTGAGTTTATGGGATTCATCCTCCTCCTCATTTGCTAATGGATTAGCAGATCCAGGAACACAACTACTAGCTGCTTCTGGAGTTGTTACTGGGGATTCTGAGCTACAGGGAGATTTAGGATTGAATATTACAGTAGCAGATATTTTCATTCCCCCTGTCCTGTGAGCTATCACTTCTGCCATTTCTGCATCATCAGCATACGCATCCCAGCCATTGAGGTATAACTGTGAGTCTGGACCTTCTAGACAGCTGCATGAATTCTGAACTGAGATGCCAGACATCTGTTTGCTATCTTCAATATTGTTATTATTGCTTAAGTCACTTTCAGCATCTTTTAAAAGCAAAGTTTCCTCTGTCTGATGGCCGTTCTCATACAGCAAAGCGTCTCTATATTGCAGATTCTGTTTTGAATTGTGGCAAGGGTTATTCACCCAAGCAAGAGTATCACTTACTGAATCCAACCCAGCAAGAGCTTCTCCTGCTCCATCTAGATCATCCATAAAAAACACTCTGTCCTCTTCATCAGTTAAATTGTCAAGATGGTGTCTTGTTGGTGAAGCTTCTGTGCTAGGACTATTTCTTAGGCTAGGTCTGTGAGCTGGAGACTGACAGATGCTTGGAGGGGAAAGCAGAGAAGACATTTCATCTCCGACTCTGTGTACCATCCTATTCAGCTGTTCCAGCTCCTGTTCATCATACTGCATAGAACAAGCCAGCTCAGCCTCTGTGTTTTCAGCTTTTGCTGAAAGCTCCGTAGCAGGCAAAGTCGCAGTTATGCCTGGTGTAATGACAGAGGGTACTTCAGGATCTGCTCTGACAGGAAAATCCACATCTTGAGAGATGCAGAGGTTACGTTCCAGTGTGTGCAGTTCATCCTCAGTTAATGTCTGAAGTAGATCCCTGAAAATGAAGGAATACACACATCACTTCGCATTTACAATCATAGGAGGCACTGATGTTACACATTTTAAAAAAGCTTTTACTCTTTAGTACAGAAATCCAGAACTTGGGGGCACAGCGTACTTTCAACTGTGTAACTCAAGGTGCATTTGGCATTCATATTCAGAACACACATGATTGCTGATGCCTGAATTTGAGATTACTCGTGCAAATTCAGGGTACCAAATTTTTTACATCCTTGCAATGAAGCCCCAAAATAAATCAAAATACACCCAGAAATGGATCTTTCCCCCTCCCCATCTACTTACAGTGAAAGTGTTACCCACAATTACATATATTTTGTCATTTTAATTTTTTAATTCACAAATTTGACTTTGATTAGCAAACCAATTTGCCATCCTTCATACTAGATTCTGAAAATTATTCTGCAAGAGTGTACCACAGGAGTTTCACACCATTATATTGTCAGATAAAAAGAATTCATTAAAAACAGTAGTATCACTTATACAGCACTGATGTCTTGGAAGCTTGTTCACTGAAACAGGGGTTGGAAATCTGCTCGCTCCTGCCTCGAACATGTAACTCAGTCATTAGGGAGCTAAGTTTCTGCATGACATTAAGAATCAGGCAGGCGTAAAAGCAAACATGTAGGTATTTACTAAACTATGTTTTCCCCAATGTTATCCCCAATGTTATCAAGTGTCCTCAGTATTGCAGTTTAGGACTATGAGCACCTAAAAACCAAAGTGTTATTTGCAGCTGTTATGTTTAAGTGCTTTATAACTTTAAAACAAATCCATAGACACAGTAGCACTTAGTTTTAGGTCTGAATTTGATTTACACTATGCTTCTCAATTAGAAACCATGTATAAAAATATCCTCTGTCAAGAACTGCTGTCAACATTTTCAAAGACCAGCAAGTGTATTTTAGTATAAATGAATGGATGGGAAAAGCAAGACCTTCTGCTTAAACAGAGGCTAGGAGTCTGTTATTCCTCATGTGTTTAGAAATCATTGGCTAGCAGGTGACATACAGCTGGCATAATAATAATATGCACATATTAAAAGAATTCCCTTAAAGGAGTAACTTCAGTCTAAACAAGAGGACCAAAAAACCCCCAAAGAAATATTCAATACATCTTACATCTTGATTTCTAGTCAATGGCTTGCATTCTTAATTTGTTAACTCAAAGACCAAATGTTTTTCCAAGTACTATCACTAAAAGATCAAATTGCCCAAAAAATACATCACTGGTATCTGACTTGTAAATCAGCTACCCTACAATTTTAAAAAAGATAACAGTTTAGATAAGCACGCTTAAGTCAGAATAAGTATAGAATATACATTTTTATGGTTAGGTACATTCCACAAAATTAACATCTTCATTTAAAAAAAAAAAAAAACCAAACTTCTATATAAGAGTTTTATGACCCTGAAAAAAATTCTAAGCCTACAGAAGTAGTACCTTATAAGAACAATTGCACCATCATATCCTCCCCTTTTCACTTGTTTCTACATTCTCTAATGGATAAGTCAGTATTTCTTTAAATCATTCCATATGCATCTTCGAGTCCGAAGTTTGACAGTTTTTTCAGTCATAAATAAGTAAGAAAGGGAAATGGGCAATCTTTGTTAGACCCACTTACCTAATAAAGCTATAAGTTTTATTAGACTGGCACACTAGAACATTTTAAAAGACCTATACATTCCTTCCTTTTGTCTAAACAGTATATAACGATACCATCTCATTACTCAGATCTTCTATTTAAACAGTAATCAGTGTCTAAGAGATTAAGCATTTTAACATCACCATAAAAACAAACTGACAGAGAATGGTTTAAGTTTTAAGGTCAACATAAAAATAGCTGTATTGTTATTTTTTGAAAGAATTATACCAATATAATCAATAAAAACATAGGATAACGTGATTTTTGCCATGAGACTTTGTATCACGAATTTTCAGTTTGTCAGTTTTTACAGGAATGCTGTGATGTAGGATTTTATAAGCAGAAATAAAGTAATGTGGGATTTTAGAAACAGCTGGTTTTTTAATTTAAAAAAACACAACAAAGAGTAAGCACACAAATACAACAGTGAAGGGTTTAAGCTTGTCTCTCACCTATACAAAGATATTGAAAAACAAAACATATTTCTGGGTCAGGCCAGGGTCCATCAAGTAGAGAAGCCTGTCTCTGATAGTAGGTTCTCAGGAAGAGCAGGACAAGCACACATGAACTCGGCTGAGTTGGACTTGATAATCTTAAAGGTCTTTTCCAACCTAAGCAATTCTATGATTCTATGAGTGCATCCTACTGGCTTCCAGCAGCCTGTAGCTCAGGGATTTCTGAACCAAGGTGGCATCCTTGTGTTCAATAATCCTCAGTGAACTTTTCTTGCATGGATGAAAATGCGCATGTCAGGAACTGATCAACTGCTTAAACATCAGCTACGCTTCTCCATACACCACAGTCATACCCTCTTCTCAAAACACGAGGTAAGAATTAGCAACTTCTACAAATACAGACTATACTAGCAACATTCAAAGGAATTTGCTTTCCATCCAAGTTCATCAGCATAACTGAGAATGAAATGGGCCCAGGGGAAAAAAAAAAACCTCAGATTGAATCCTCTGACTTTCAGCATCTAGTCTGGGGTTTTATTCAGTCTCCAGAACATCGCATAGCAGCACGCGAGATTCCTGGATGTCTGGGTGCCCAGAGTTGCTCTGCTTCCTTTCTGAAGACACAGAGAGCCTGACGGCTCAGACCTATCCGATACATTCACTGTAAAGTCAGTGCTGGAAATACATATTTACTTTACACTGGCTAGCTTCATTGACTTGAATAACAGACTCTTTGTTTCTGCCAATAACACCACCTCAAAATTTAAGAACAATTGTGGGCAGTTTTGAGGATAACTAAGTAAAGCTTGATTAAAAATAAATCAATGAAGTCAGCTGATAGTCCTCGTGTCTTTTTAGGTGAGTCAGATCCATGCTGCCTTGCAAGAGTTGCTGTACATAATCAGTTGGATTACATGTGGAGGTCTGCCAACCCTGTTATTTCAGTAGAGAAATAATCCCACTTTAAATGCAAAGGAAATATGCTCAATTTCCCAATTCAAACACACAAATTTTGCTATTAACAAATACAGCTTGTTCTAAAAGAGGTTCGGACAATTATCTTCACTTCTCTGCATATAAACACCCTAGACTCACTGGGCTGTTTTATATACAAGTTTCCTTGCAAGGTGACAAATGTTTGATCAACAGTTATCTTTTTGATACATTGTTTATTAGATTATAAAGGATTCACTGTCAACTTAGGAATATGGGATATTTAAAATGCCTATGTAGATATTGAGAATAAAATTAATGTCAACCAGTATACGGAAAGAAATGTTAAATCTCAGTACTGAAAGTTTAAAACTAAACATCAGGCATCATTATTAAACCATAAGGTTTAATAAGCTGCAGCTACTTCCACAGTTCATTTCCTTTCTGCTGAAGTGTCTGTAACTCGTCATTGGATCCAAGCAAGGGCTGTGCTCATATGGAAAAAAGAATTTCTCCCTCTGCTTTCGTTATTCAGAAGCCACAGGTAAAGAGATCTTCTGCAATCCACCCTGACAGCAGCAGTGCGCTTCCTTCTCACAGAGGCTTTAGAAAACACTGAATTTAAGAAAGGCACATGTTGAGGTTTCACGTGCTTTTAGTCTTTTTGGCATAGTATCACAGGAAGGCAATCTAGCCTTGAAAACACGAGGAATGTTTTTCTGCCAGTGGCTGTAGTCACTGGCAGAAAAACAAGGCAAGTCCTTAAGATGTATTCTGCTTGTTACAAGCAGTAGTAGAAATTTACTCTGCCTACTGCAAACCCAATAAACATATTTTACTCTATTGCCAATATCCAAGGTGCAGAAATTACTTCTTCAAAGATCTGAGGTCAGATGTCCATTTAAAGGCAAATTTGGCTGAATAGAGGACAGGACCACAAAAACCCAGGTACACTGATCTCTCACATTCTCCAAGCCTGCTTTATTAACTTTGCTCCTATTCGGACTAGAGTTTTAAATTGTCTGTTTTCAGGGAACAGCATCGTTGTTATTGCCAGCCTGTGCTTCAGTTCATGCTCTGAACAGAGCATAAACAGCTGTCTTCACGGAGCTGCCACCATAAGAACATGATGAAGTACGGGAATGCAATTTGCATCCTCCTGCTTTCACAGTGCCGAGCTGAGTTCAGCACGCCAAAGTCCGCAGATCTGCTCTGACACATCAGCGCTGAGAAACCAACACTGATACATAACAAATATCACTGGTACTCCTTTACTGCAAAAGTTTTAAATCAACTCAAAGTTTTAAGCACAGCCATCTTGGAAAAACTAACCAGTTTTCCCCCAATCACTGCGCATACTTTAAAAGCATGAGAGTTTCGCAAGCCCCCCCCATTCTTTAACACACTGACAACTGGTGTACTGCATTTGATTTCTAGTCAGTGATACAGAAGGGTTTCAGTGTACTTAAAATGGTATGAGCCTCTGATTCTGCACCACCTGATCTGCAATCTGCTTGATTCTGCACCACCAAAATCTATAGGGACCCTGCCATCAATTGTAATGGTCCAGAAACAAGCACCAGGCAAGCAGAGGGCTCTGAAAAAAGGGAGTACTGCAAAATCCCAAGTTTGCTCACCTCTGAAAATCTCTGTATAGCAGCCTCAAATGTATATATAGTATAGGTAATATTTTATCACAAGAATGTTCACTGTCAGAGGCATCCAATTAAGTATCTATACCAGATGATATGCTTTGTATACTTACTAGGCAGATTACAGTAGTTTGGCAGAAATGGTTCAAATGTCTTAGTTTAAAAGGAACAGAGATAACACTACTATATAATTACACACTGGTAGATGTATAAAATACCAATGCTGATGTTTTATATCTAAAACAAAAATCAACACAAGCACCTTCCTTAGGTATTAAAACATTCAAAGTCATCATTTGCTGCTCAACCTTACCAAAAATCTAAAAAAGAACCCTTACTGCTTTTGCTCTGAGAGTCTCCACAATCTCTATTGTTTTCAAAGTTGCCAGGCACCAACAGGACACCAAAGATTTTCCTAGCTGATATTTTTCTCTGCTAGTTCTGATTTAATTACGTGGATCCACATAAATACAGACCTTATCATTGCCTTTAACAGGAGGGATGTTTTAGGATAATACAGCTTAAAAATTGCCTGTAATCCTACAAAATCATCAGCTGTATATTTGGTGTTATTCCATGAGTGAAAATATTTAGTTGGCTAAAAAGTTATAGAACTTTATGGAGAAATTTACTGGGATGTGATCATATTCTGCAGTAAGATGTTGTTCTATATTCTTACACAGGCACACAACTGCAACACAAGATGCAACTATTTTAACAGAAGACTACTTGAATCTATTTTCATGCCTTAACTATTGGTGATGGAGACTGGAGAAAGACTCCGGGAAAAACAATGCTCCCTTTGTGCTGGGGATGAGCTCGAATATCTCATTCCATCTTCCCTTGTAGATTTCTGTGAACATTCTCACTGAGTAGGAATTGCAGTCTGATGAGTTAAAAAAAAAATCTGTGATAACATGTCCAGGTTTCAGCAGGGATAGAGTTAATTTCCTTCCTAGTAGCTGGTACAGTGCTGTGTTTGGGATATAGGACAAGAACAAAGTTGATAACGCACCAATGTTTTAGTTGTTCCTAGGTAAGGCTTACACTAGCCAAGGACTTTCTAGTTTCCCATGCTCTACCGACTGAGAAGGCTGGAGGTGCACAAGAAGCTGGGAGGGGGCACAGCCAAACTGGCCAAAGGGACATTCCATACCATGGGACGTCATGCTCAGTACATAAACTGGGGGAAGCTGGCCGGGGGGGCCGCTGCTCGGGGACTGGCTGGGCATCGGTCGGCGGGTGGTGAGCAATTGTACTGTGCATCACTTGCTTTGTGTATTCTTTTATCATTATTATTATTATTTTCCCTTTCTTTTCTGTCCTATTAAACTGTCTTCATCTCAACCCACGAATTCTGCTTCCCCCCCCCGATTCTCTCCCCCATCCCACTGGGGGGAGGCAGGAGGGTGAGCAAATGGCTGTGCAGTGTTTAGCTGCCTGCTGGGTTAAACCACAACGTAACAAAAAATAAAATCTAGACAGCTTAATTACCTTTAAAAGTAATTTAATTATCCTATATGAACTGCACAGTTATTTGTATCTCAGTGTTATTTTCACTCAAAGTATTTTTCATTCAAGAATATTACTAAAGGATCTTTTTGAGCCCAGTTCTTTCAAATATTCAAGTTCCTCGACATTCCTTCAATTCAGAGACTGCCAGAGATAAGATTTCACATTACGTCTTAATTTGCTTAAATTTTTGCTCTGATAGATGCTCTCTCACTAAGAACACTTTGCAAACTTTATCTGCTAGACAACTGAAATCACATTTCTTAATGCTTGCTTGAAGGAATAAATGTAAGTCTTAAAGTATATCAGAACTTTTCCCAAAAAGGAATCTGAAAGAGTCTTTTCGTTTTCTGAAGTTGGCATTGAAAATTGTAGTTATTGAACAAACAAGCATTTTACTAATGTGTTTTCAACCCAAGCATTAAGTTCAGAGTAACTGAAAATTAAATGGACTAAGCAATAAACTGACTTCATTGATTTTCATTTTCCATGTTGTAAAATGTAAGGAGTAAGGGGAAAGTACAGATTATGAGAAGTATATTAGCCTTTAAATATTCTTTTGGCTTTAGTCAGCCAATGGAGTGCTGGTGAAAATCTCTGTGATAGCCATATATTGGGAATAAGGTATTTTAATGTAAACTTCATGGACTTTTTAAGCTTCAGTACCATTAAAGTTTTTTCCCCTCTAACTTCAGTTTTGCTCCTCAGTTCATGTTGTTGTTCTTTACTCAGTGTTTTATAAAACCATAATCACTCAAAAAACCCACCCCCAAACACGTAGATTTGTCAATTCTGAGATTTCAATATGAATGTCACTAATGTACCGAAAAATAAAACTGTATCACTTCTAGACAGAAATACTAGGAAATCTTCAAGGGACGCAAAAGGATGCTGTCTGGATATTCATTAAAAGCTAACTTCAGAAGTAGGTTCCTCCCTGAACCATCCCCGACAGAGCTTGCATTCTCCCTCAGGAGATGCCTCACTTCTAATGCATGAGAGGAGATTAATCTTGATAGACTTATCTATGTGAAATCTATTCTTACATCAAACTGTCATCATGACATACAGGGAAGGCGATTAACAGGTGAAAAATTGCACACAGGAAAGAAAAACGTCTCCCAAGTTGTCTCTAGAGATTTCTAGGAACAAAATTTGCAGTCGATATATAAATTCGAATTTTAAGAAAATAATATGGCTTATGGATTTAGAAAACAGTTTCTTTTAATACCCAAGTAAGACACCTTAAGGGTGAATATAAAGATCCTTTAAAGATACAGCTTGATTTCTCCAATGAAACAGATCAGTCTTCTAAAGACCTCAACTCAGAAAAAATATTTTACTGCCCTTTATACTTAAGTTGAGCCAAAGCCCACATCTCCAATGGTTACCGAGACTGAAGCACTGTGAAAAGAGATATATATAAAATGATCCATCCTGTAAAAACAGATCTACAATATGAAAAACTGATAGTCATTTCTATTAGATTAAGAATTATCTGAGTATTGCATCACAACATACTGAGAAAGTGTAATAAGCCTAGTTAAATGGAAACATTGATGCTAATTAGAAACAGGATCTCCCAAAAATAAACTGCAACTTTAGTATTTCAGGCATCATCCAACCATAAGGAAAATCTGAAATGTAATAAAATGATATTCAGAAAAAAACCCCACTATCACAAAGATATGAAAAGTTCAGAAAACTCCCATGAAATGAAAAATTACGTTTAGTTATTTCATGGGTATATCAGGCAGAAGAGAGGAAAATGCAGTTTACGGTTAAACATAACAAATGCATTTGTGTGTTCTTTTTTAGGCCTCTGATTTTCACTTCAGAAGAGAAGCAGTTACAACCATCTTTTATTACTTGCCTTATTTTTCTTAGCAGAGTGTGAAAAGGTCTGAAGAGTTCAGACATATCTTCTGGTTTATGGTCCAAGTTTAATGGTCCCTCAGAGTAGACAACAAGGCCACTGTAGTTCAAACACATGCACGAACACACAAAAAAGAATTTCATTACACAGAGCAACTACCGAATGAGTCAGAAAAGCAACTGTACCTAAACATTAGAACTACACTCAAGTTACATATTGTTATCTTATTTTTGTCTTATTCACCCACAGTTAGAATTAAATGTTATTTAAAGCAACAGGAAAGAGATCCCCTCCCCTCTGTCCACCCCCCTAAAGCATGGGAGAAAAAGCAATGAAAGCATAAGAGGAAGAACATACATTTACTTCATTGTTGTGGCTGACCCATAAAAAAATAAAACAAGAAACTGATTATCAAGTAAGTTGAGGAAAGTCCGCTGTCTTGAGAGGGACTGCAAATGGCTTTTTCTTTCCAGTCTAAATAATTTCTAGGGAAGATAGTTGACTCTTGAGCTCCTATTTTTCTACCTCTAAGATAAATACAACCTGGTATTAACATGTGGTAAAAAAGAAAACACATCTGCTAAATCACATAAAACACATTTTGATAATGCCGTGCTTCTAAATCAACTCAGCACTTGCAGAAATTTCCCTGGAGAAAGGTTAGTTCATGATCCTGAAAGCCTCTGGGCACTTCACTGCAGATATCTCAATAGTTCCTCCTGACTGAATCACTACTGCCCAAACCTGTCTGTGTGTCAGGGATTAAACAAAATTCACCACCTTCACCATTATCTGCTGCATCATACCACACTGTGGCTGAAAGTGGATTCTACCCACACCAGGCACCACTCTGCTTAAAACTGTTTAATCCTCTGCATACATTGTTTTTGCAGTGGGCTTCTCAAAGGCAAATGGATCATGCGTTCTCACACTCAAGATTACATATTTTAGCCAGACCATTTTGTTTTCCCCTTCCTGCCCTTACCTTGGGTAACAGAGCTGCCTGTATCTCAAAACTCTGTTCCTTTTCTTACACTCAAATTACATGTTGCTTCAGAAAGTATCCAAATCATCCAGAGTAATGGGGACCCTCGGCTGACTAACAAGACTGTTGATGTCCTTTGCTCACCGGCTGTTCACTAGCGAGCACCCTGCGTGACCACAGAAGGCGCTCTCAGACACAGCAGCAAAGCTTATGTCAGAAGTTATATGAATCCCACTGAGGTATTAAGAAGAAGGACCACTTACACTCTGTTTACCACCTGGGAAATATTGCTCTTTTTCCTCTTTATAAACCCATAGTCTGGCTCACGCCCTGGTACCAGGATCGTACCGTGGTCTCCCATCAGGCTGGAAGATGGCCATCAGAAAGTTCCGAATTGTCAAGATAACAGAGGGTCCAACAAATTGGACTAGTAACTAGTAAACTTGATCAACATTGCTTTGGGGACTGGGGTTTTCAGGGCAGGAACAGGGAAAGGGGAGCAGTGGAGAGAGGGAAAAAAAGTTGCTTCTCTTGCAAGTCACCTTTTTTTTTGTGGCTTAAGACAAATTATCCTGTTACCAGGGTTACATACTTTTATGTTTTTCTAAGCTTTCTGAGCTGCAAGAAGCAGGCTGCCATGAAGCGAAGTAGTTATTGCTGACTCATGTACTAGTGTTCTGCCTAAAAAAGTTACTTCTTTGCTGAGTAGAAGCTCGAGGCTGCTCTCACTGAACTCGTAACTGAACAAGTCTTTGGAGAACAAGTCTTATGAGGAGCAGCTGAGGGAACTGGGGTTGTTTAGCCTGGAGAAAAGGAGGCTCAGGGGAGACCTCATCGCTCTCTACAACTACCTGAAAGGAGGTTGTAGCGAGGTGGGTGTTGGTCTCTTCTCCCAAGTAACAAGCAATAGGACAAGAGGAAATGGCCTCAAGTTGCGCCAGGGGAGGTTTAGATTGGACATGAGGACAAATTTCCTTACTGAAAGAGTGGTCAAACACTGGGACAGCCTGCCCTGGGAAGTGGTTGAGTCATCATCCCTGGAGGTATTTAAAAGACGTGTAAATGAGGCGCTTAGGGACGTGGTTTAGTGGGCATGGTGGTGTTGGGTTGACGGTTGGACTCGATGATCTTAGAGGTCTTTTCCAACCTTAATGATTCTATGATTCTGTGATACAAAGTCACCATTCCCTTGGCAATTTTCCACTTTCCATAGAGCTTAACTCGCAGAAGATATTAAAATAATAGAAGAGGGCTAGAGCATAAGAAAAAAAGATTATGAAATGGCCTGTGTATATATATGAACTTTGAAAGAGTTCTGAAGCAAAGTTTGAATATAGTTGTACCATGGAAAGAATTAAAAATTGAAAAAAGTGTATCAATATTTCCTACTAGGTTCAAAGTTCATGATGCCTGTTAACACACTAGGCAATATAGACTGTATAATGTGGATGGTAAACTGATGTCTGAAAAGAAACCTTAGACAAAAAAGACTCCAAAAAGTATTCCTTAAATCTTGGCTATTGGAAGACTGAGGGGATCCAGCACTTCTCCTTGCTCCAAATCCATCCTTCTCATTAAGACACAATAGAGCAACAGCATGGCAACTTTGAGTTGCACCTGTCTTGTGTTTAAAGGCTTCTGCTTTCACAGTCCAAATAAAAGGCTTGCATTTCTTCCAGATGACACCATATCTGGATAGTGTAGTTATTCTGTGGAACTTCATATGGCAATGATTTATTTTCAAATCACCGGATACTTTGGAGCAGTTAAACTTTTTTCGCTTCTCCCTCTCTGTCCTTCTTTGTAATTTGGGATTGATATGGTGTGTTTTCCAGAGAGCCCTTGGTTTTCCAGTTAGTCATGATGTATTTTTCTTTATTGTGTCTTCCAGCAGCTTCAAACTGAGTTCTCGTATTCCCGTTGTCTTTTGATAATCAGATTACTACTGTTATTTTTTTTAGACTGACAGTTACAGACAATATCCTATTTAACAGGAACAATGGGCCACAGGGATTTCCTGAGGAGAAGCGTATTACACTAAGGATTTGAGGTTTCTTATTTCCCTCAATTATACTACTTATATTAGCTAACTTTCAAATATTCACAATGATAAAATATTAAAAATATGCTGGCTTTACTCCACAGAAACTGCTGTCTTATTAAATCATGAAGACTCATTAGGAAAAACGCATCTGAGTTGTTCAATATTGCAAAAACTGCATGAAGCAAAAAACCTGTTTTAATTTAGTTGTCTTGAGTGGTCAATACAGGGCACAAATCTATACATAAGTTATACATATTAATACTTTCCTTGAAAAAGATTAAGCCTAACTCAGAGGTCACAATGCAGTTTGCCATGACAATTCCTTTTGAACCCAGAGTCATTAAGAAAAATACACAATTCCTATTGAAAATTTTTGGTTTTCAAGACTTATATCCTTAGGTCATTATTTTTGAGTGACACAAAATATCTGCTTTCAAAAAATATTTCTGACAACATGACATTCTACAGACTGATGTTCTGAATTAATTTTTTAATTTCTTTCTGGAGGATGACTGATCAATTGTTTCAGGTTCCTGCCTTCTGTATTTAGAGTTCTACCCTCTCTTTCCTTTTTCTCTCTTGGTATTCTACAAAAAACTGGTAATGATTTAAAAAAAACAAACCACCCCAAAAAACCACAAAACAAAACATAGTCCTCTTTTTTGATTTTTTTTAAAGAAAGTACAAGCAAACTCAGCTGAGAGAAAATATGCCAAAATTCTGAACAAAATTTTTGAAATCTTCAATAAATCTTTAAGTGAGGCAGAGCGGAGAGTAGTTAAAAAAATTACTTACCATACAATGGCTAATCTTGGAATTGTAAACATTAAAGCTGGTTCGTAGTCATCTATCATATCTTGAGTGAGGTATCCAAGCCTTAAGGCTCTAAGCAGAAGAATAAAATTAGTTAGTAAGAGATCAAACTCTCAAAGAATACATTTCAATAGGAAAAAAATTGAAAAAATTAAGCTAAACCAAACTGATAGTATTTAACTCATGAACTATTTTTGTACAATCTAAAACACTATGTATATAACTGACTGCTGTAGTCTCTGCTTTAAAAAATATTAATATAAGAAAAAAATCTTAAACACTTAAAGATTTTATAGCCATCCAAAACCAAAATAGTTTTTATGCCATTTTCCCTTTTCATTTACTATTTCATGCCAAGCTTCAGCTTGTTACTGAAAACCACTGGTACTTAGAGTTTTTCAACTAAGAGAAACATTTTTAATGTAATAGGGGAAAGTATTTGGTTTCATTTTCAAATAAAACTTGCTATAATCATCTAGGTCAACCCCCCCTAACTAACAAACCAAACTAAAAAAAACAGTTCTGTACAGCAACTATTATTGAAGTCTAAGGATTTAATATTTGGGGGACACTTCATTGTCCTCTAATAACTTTTCAAATATCTTAAGCCCCTTTTAGACTAAAACCCCATTTGTTTAGGTTTTTCACTTGGCTATGCTTTCCAGGTTTCTTCACCATTTCTTCATTTCCTCATAAGTTTAGTAACATCCTCAAATTTCTTCTCCTATTCGTCTGTATCAGTGTATAAGATGACACTCAAAACTGCACACTAGTCCCGCTGAGATCTGACCGGTCCCAAAAAGAATGGAAAGAACTTTTTCTCATTCCTTGTCAGTATTTGTCTTGCCAATACTGCTGGTGGTGGACAGCAAAACGAACACAAAGCAAGCACTGCTTTGTACTAATGGTAGATGGACTCATCAGTTGGTGGCCCACTCACTCCCTGTTCCTTCCTACAGTCCACTGCCAGATTATCCAAAGCTGCAAATGAGAAACCATCTTTTTCCTCTTACTGGGCAAATCTGTGTATATGTAGTAGCTCTCTGACTGATGGAAGGTAATCCCTCCTACTTGTTGTGACCATTTTGAGTTGTAAACCTGTCTTTTAAAATGCCTGAAACACCTCTGTTCTTGGTGTCATCTACAGATTGTAGCAGTATGCTCTGTACTCCTTCAGTCCTTAATGAAAGTATCGACCACACCAGACCCAGGGTCCTACTTCACAAGTTCCCCTAATATGACAGTAAAACCAACGCTTATTCCAAGTGCGTTTTACAGTCAATTGGTCTCTAATATTTCTACCTAGACTATGGTTCACTAGCTGCCTTTTGAGAACAGTGTTCCACTGCTCAAAACCTGACTAAAGCTGGGTATTTCACATACTGTTCCCTTCTACTGCCTACCTGCTAGGCTAGTTACTCCGTCACAGGGGAAAAAACAAGAAAAGTTGTTCAAAACAGTACATTCCAAACAAATTCACATTTTTCTTATCACCTTATACTCCTGAAAGAACTTATGAATTGCTGCATTGTTTGGTTTTTTTAACATCATCTCTTCGTACAGAGTCAAGCTCCAGTCCTCTAAGATTTTAAAGAGTCTTTCCAAGTTCTTCATGATAATCACTAGAGGCTCACAGATGATTTGAATCATCTCCCCATGTATTCTTGCATGAAACATCGTTAAGTCTTGATGCCTTAAACAGATTTAGCTTATTTAAATGCTTAGTCTTCATTTACACATCTATAACTAGGCATACCAACAATAATGTTATTGTTGGATTATTAACTTTTGGGGGTTTTTTTGCCAGAAAACAAAAAAGCATTGGCTTGTGCCTGGCAAGCATGCTTAATGCTTTTTAACTTTGTACTTCGATACTTACTAGAAAAGCAAAGTACATGGTGTTTTATGATGCTTCTTAAAGACTACAGTTAAAATATTTCTACAAGAGCTCGGACTGTAAGTAAACACAGAAATGAAAATCTAGTACTTAACTAAAATGCTTACCTCTCCACAGTTTCACAGAAAAGTACTATTACCTCTTGCTGTACATAATATTCTTTTGGAGACTTCACAGGTACCATGGCCGACACATAACTACAAAGATTATAAAATAACGTACTACTATTTTACACGCTTTAACAAATCAGATTATAAATAAAAACAAACCTAGGACAAATCATCTTAGAAACCTAAAAACTTTCCTGTACCATTTTGTATTTATTTTGACAGCACTCACTATGAAAATTGTACAGTGTAAGAATCTGTAAGAAATGCAGCTGATTTACTTATTGCAGATTGAGGCAGTGGAACTCAGTAGTAATTTAGAAATATATTTACACACATTTAGCAATCAAGAACTCCATACTGTGTGGCACAGGGAGGTAAGTCCTAGAAGGATCTTTACTGCCAAATCTTCAAGATAGAATAGTTTACTCTGCATTTCCGGAAGAAAAAAACTGAATAAAATGTACATTTTAATCTAGAAAGGTTTTACCTGAAATTATATTAGTGAAATTCAGTTACCCAGCAGAGACAGTTTAGGAGGCTTAAGAGTTGGCCTCGTTTCTATGTGGAATTACATGCAAAAGCAGTAATTCACAAGGTAAGAAACATTGGTAAGAGTGGTTTTCTGTCACCGTATTACGTAGTCATTTGTAAACTAGAGGTAACACAGGAAGGGAAAAAGCTGTCTGCAAAACAATGGCAAAGAAAAATGCTGTATGTAGAGTTGGTATGGACAGGCCAGAAACTCTGCACAGGCACTGTCAAGAACCAGTTACTCGTTGTCATTGGTGTCTGCACTAAAAGCCACACTTAAAAACATGGTTTTAGCCAATGTTTCCAATTAAAATGTTTTTCAATGTAACAGTATAATGACAGTTTTTTGAATCAGAAAAAAATTGCTTACCTGAGTAAAATAATACAAGAGAATATGAATACTGAGGAAGGGCAAACAGTAATGGGAGACAAGACAGCCTAGGGATTATTCCAAGGAAAAATTTAAAACACTACCCAATTCTAAGAAACCTGTTCTGCTGAGGGTAGGAATGGCTGTATTATATTGGATCCATAGATAATCTTGTCCAGTAACCTGTCTGTAACTATGTCCCCTGCACCACAAACATCCAACAGATGTGCAGGAAGCTGGCTTAAATTCTGAAGCTTGGTCAATGTGACCTTTGATGCAAATAAGCAGTTACTTTTCTCACCCCAAAAGCAGTTATTTTTATTTTTGCTATAAACCTTCAAGCAATTTTTCAATCACAAGTTTTTAAATCAGCGAGTTCCCACAGTTAATTATGGTTTGTGTAAAAGCACTTCCTTCATCGGATTTCAATTTGCCTTCTTAAATTCACTGGGCCTGTCTTGCCTGTATCTCTAAGCACAAGAGAACAAAGCCTCATAATCTCTAGACTATTTGTCATCATACTTTTTTTTTAATGTCTCTTATTTGTCGCCTTTCCTCCAACAAAGAAAACATTAAGCGAAGAGATTTATGGCTTCCTTGTGTGTCTTGGAAAACCTCCCTCAAATGCCATATGCCAGTATGCAAATGGAAGATTATAGTTTAGTTGAAGACAGCAAATGTTGATTGCTAAAAAGCTATTTAATTTTCTTTTCATTATTGCTACAATGGAAGGAAAAATATCTAACAATACAACAAATTACTGAAGAATTCAAATACCATGATGAACAAATTACATACTTTTTCCATAAAAAGAAAACAGAACAAAACAACCAACTTCCAAAAACCAATGAGCCACACAACAGCTGTAGTAGCCAAGCCAATGCCCACAATGCATTTACTTTGGATCTTTTACCTTAATTCAAATTCAGCAAAAAGGATGTCAAAATGTTTGAGTGAATCTTTCATTTTTTCTGTGTAGAGGTTCAAATCCCTTAAGGCCTGGTCACGAATGATATTTCTAACTTCTTCTAGGCTTCGGGTCAGATCCTTGGCCAATGGCCTCATAGCCATACTCTCAATTTCACGATTCATAATAATTGAACCAGCAGCCAAACACTGTGAAATACATTAAGAAAGAAAATATTAATTTTTAAAAAGTTACTTTTATGTTTAAAAAAGCACAAGATGTGATATTTAGTACTTTGAACAAGGGCAGTACTTAGCCCCGATTTGTTGCAAATTATTAAGTGAAACATTTAAGACTGATATGCCGAGAGTCATAAGCCTTCACATAAAAGGTTAGGGAGCACCTCAGTCAGGGAGACATGAGAACAGGCGGAGGTTCAAGAGCAAGAACCACAGAGCTAGCAGAAGAACTTAAGCTCTTCTCCCACTAGTTAGGCAATAGGTATTGGTAGGATGTATACTCTATGTACACAAGGATTGCTTGCGTAAATCCAGCTAAAGTATGATCAATGGACTGTTTTGATTCAGGCTAGACTGCTTGATTTTGTAAAATAAATCTATTCCTTACAAAAAGAACATAAACTCTGCAACTGTGATGCCTTTTGCAGCAAAAGTGGTCACACTGGCTATCAGACTAGGGATCCAGCTAGGTCAGTATCCTGCCTCCCACAGAAGCCATGAATATACTTTATAGGAAAGAACATAAAAACCAGGTCACAGAGTGATTCTTCCCTTTCAATTTCTGGAAAGCAGCTATTTAAGAGACTCCTTGCCCCAAGAGTTATACATGGACTCCCTCTGACCAGCTCACAAAGACATTAAAAGTAGATTTTTACTGTAACACATTAATGAAACTTTTTTTAAATCTTGCTATTAAAACCAAGCTATTCAATAATCTCTGCTGCTGGCTTTATTCCTTTATGGATACATTTGGAAGACAACAAGCACTGATATAAATCATACTTGCTGTATCAATGGAAATATTTTTATTAACTGAAAATATACAAGGTTGTTCTAGTTGCAAAGTCCTCTTTTTTTTTTTTTTTAATCTCCATTTGCAGGTCTGCATCCCTCCCCTCTCCCCTGCACTCCCCTGGATGGGAGGCGTTTCTGCAGCTCTGCAATCCCAGCCCTTGCTCAAAAGCCTGATGCATTGATTCGTGTTTTAAGGGCACTCAGAGAATATCATGTTTACCTCTTATCAGCCAAAGCAGTATTTGTTGGAAAGTATGGATAAGGCAAGTCTTACCTGTTGACAGGGACTCTTAGTCTGATAACTCAGAGCGATTGCACTGACAAGGACACATAAGTGTATATTCGTAACAGTCCATACAGTCTTCCTTACTACATGATTTTACAGGAGGACAGTGTCTACAGTAGTACGAGTTAGCATTACTTCATCACTGCTTATGTTACTTTCTCTGAAACCAACAGGTCTCTCCAACCTGTTGGTTTGATTTGGAGACAGTGAAAGTTTAATTTGGAAAGAGTAAAAGCATTAGCTTCTGTAACACAAACAGTGAATAAAGGGAGACTTTTTTCTTCTCCTAGAAGATACTGGCTGTCTCAGTGATTCCCTCAAACATTTTCCACAATGCAATGAGAAGCTACCACATTGGCTGGCATTTTTCCTGTTTGTTCATTGCTGTAACCACAGTTTGTTAGTCCCTTAAAGTAGGAAGGGATAATGGGATTCACAGGGATTCATTAGGGATGGTTGCGGGAAGAAGTACCCTATGTTCTCCTACCTACCAAGGAGGCACCATTAAGCCAATGTGTCAGATTCAGCATTTTAAAACAAAGCATGGCATCACCTGGATGACAGCAGTGAAGGTCACATGATAATGAGAAGAAAAATTGCTGCTGTTTTTGCCGAGGACAGGATTATAAGGCATTGACGTATCAAATTCATTTTGTAAATTCTGCCTGGGACTTCCCTGACTCAGAGAGGCCTACAATTAACAACTGTCAAAGACAGCTTCAGAAACAGAACATACAGAGGTATATTGAACAGACCAAGATAGGAACTATTGATGGAGAGCATGCACTTTAGAAAGAAAGGAGTAACTGATAGGGAAAAGAATAGATAACAACAGGACACAAAGGATTGCTTCAAATACAGGAGAGGCAAAGCCGAAAACGACAACACAATGTGCTGTTGTGCGGTGGGGTGTCTAGACTACTCCCCCCTCAACCCTCAACAAATCCATGGTGCTTAAGGTCACCTTCAGGCCAGCAGACCTGAAGACACTAAGTTTATCATTAAAGATGCCACAATGTTTTTTTTTTTAGCCAACAGACATCAGCACTAATGAATAAGTATCCTACATATGACATCCTTTTTTCTGACACTTCAGGCTTCCCTTGGTTAAAATAATTCAAGCTTATTCACTACAAAAATCCCTGGTTCCTACAGGTTGCTGTAGAAGCAGGTCTTAGAGAAACCAGGTAAGAGAAGAAAAGTGGACTTCAGTGTTTTGCACAGACACCATTATATTTTTAGCATACACATGAAACAAGTGAATTATGTGCAACAGATGTCAGCTCAACAAAGTTACGTATGTTTAGTATGAGTTATAGCATAATATAGCCATTAAAATAAAGTGACAGCATGCACTTATATTTGTTGGAGACAAACTTTTATACTGATAAAATTCCTTTACATATCTTTCTTTGTTTCTAAGATTTTTCAAAGCATGAGATGCGAGATGGCCCATCAGGATAAAAAAAAAAAAATCAAGAATATTAATCGGATGCTAATTCACAAAAGAATAGTTTTTAGAAGGTGGTCATAATGAGACCAAACAATTATGAAAATAAACCAGTATGCTGTTAGCCCAACCAATACCAAAACCATAGTTAAAAATCCCCTTCCACTGAGCATCCGGAGCAAGTTCTCAAAGATGTTTACCTTGCTCTGTAATTATATGTACCATTTTCAGAAAAGTCTCAAGATGTACTTTAAACTTTGGCTTTATGCCACAAAAAATTTTCCATTAACCCCAAGTAACAGAAATATGACAGACTTACTTCTGCTCCAAACCAAAGCTGTCCTGCAAGGTTGTCATGGCGTATTTCCTCTGGAAACTTAACACAAAAGTCTCGGTTGGCCCGTTCATGCGGAATGCATTCATCCATGATTTGATTTATGATGTTCAAAACATTATCCTGAAGCAAAATATAGGATAGCATATATAGTGTTTCCCACAGATTTGTTCCACAAATTTTTTTTATAACTTTTAACAGAGTTTATTAGTGAGGCACCAACTAATTAAGTAAGATAGAAAATGTAGTATTTAACCCTTACGGTCATCACACACACAAGGAGAACAAAGAGGAGAATACTGCATAGAACAGAGTGGCAAACTTCACTTTTTCTATTTTTCTTTGAGTCTGTTTCTCAGATTCACTGCACTTAACTTTGGCTACTTTAGTGGGACTTCTGATGAGGAGGCATGATTTAAAGAGCTAGTTACCTCCAGCTATCTATCTGTAAAATATCAGTAAATAAACTAGAAATACAAGTAAATTAGATTTCTCTCATTTCCTCTCACCAGCCCCAATGATACACACTTCATTCTTCTCAAAAAGAATGCCTGACGGAATACCCTGGAGGCGTTAGAAATTGAGTTATATTGGGACCAGTGGGGTTGAATAGACTTAAACTCATCCTGGGAACCGAAAGCAGGCAGTTTTCACACTTGAGTTCCCAGTGGGCAAGGGCTGGCACACCTGCCTGCCATCTCACCCCCCGGCCATCCAGGAGGATAAGGGGACACTGCACAACTTAGTCTTAGTAACTGCTCTTAACTACATCTGGACCAAGACCAAGATCAAAGACCTATAACCAGCTTCTTGATATGCAGTAAATAATCTGCATTCATTTTTTTGAAAAGATAATTTTCACATACCCCTGCTGGGACCTGCATGGAATTTGATTAACATAATAAAGGTAGATTCAGAGCATGAAAAAGGCTGAGTGCTTTCATTAAAGATGTTTTGTCTGTCTCATGCTTCTTACACTATTTACAGAATTCATGTACTATTGAAAGTATTTCAAACAAATAAAACCAAATCTGTCTGTATTGAATTGTTTAACAGACAGAATTGCTTTAAGTCTACACTTTACTGTTTTATTTCCCTCTGCATTTAAAAAATTATAGAAGACAGGAATTTTGAAGAAACCTGCCCCTTTATGTTCCCCACTGAGAAAGACAAAACCTACTTTAGGTACAAAAAAAGATTCACATTTTCTGTAATTTCAGTGCAGACTGCTATAACTGCTGTTGCCACAAAATAATCTTAACATTAATGCCATAACCACAGTTGTCTTCATCCAAAATAAATTAAGCATTGCAACACCTATTACACATTGGTATAAGGTACTTTGTGTCAACAATTAAAACATTTTTACATAAATGCATTTTTTGCAAGTCTGTCATGAGGTAACACATTTCATTTCAATAAAGTTGTTAAAAACAAACAACATCCCGAACATTTAAAACACACTGGCACACATAATATTCAACCATCTTCTCTAGAAACAAATCTGAAAGCCAAATGCTCTGTAGCTCCTCCGTGGCACCACACCACAGACTGTGGCCAGCAGGTATGAGAAGAGGCAAGAAAACAAAGCTAGATTCACCAACATATAAAATACTGAATTTTAGAGACACACCCCTTACTCTGCTGGGTATTAGCATATTGCCAGGATTAGTGGGACACCTGAATCCCTAGGAATCCAAAGAGACGCCCATAGTAGAAATTGAGGGGAAAACCATCCTCGCAATATTCCCTAGTGTAACGGCAAGGGGAACTTCAGTTCAAATCCTGGAAGAACACAGAACAGAGCTAAGATGCCCACACCACCCTGTTTCGGCACTGCTATCCTCAACCACTGGCTGAAGAACAAGCCAGACTGCCACCACCTCTCCTCTCCTGGATAAAAGGGAGACAGTCACGGAATCGCATGCAAATTAGTATGACACTTAGGGTGAGAAAAAGCAGACTAATAGCAAGTTTCCTATTTTTCTTCCTTCCATTTCTTAATTCCTGATATTGAGTATACATCATTATTTAGCTAGATCTAGCTGGGGAACCAAAATGTTTTGAAAGTAGGTCCCGTAAGGAAATCAACTCCTAAAGCACTTAGTTCCTACCCAAAGTTACAGAGCAAAGAATGAAACTGAGGATTAAAGCATTTAAATTGTAGAAGGGCACGAGTCACTCATGAAGTATTTCAAATCAGTTATTACTGATCTATTTTGAGAGCAGGTGCTTTGCCTGTAGCTCCCACTTTATCACCAGAGCAATACAGGCTGGCACATTAGGATGAAAAGGCAGATTCCTGTTTTCAGGGAATGAATAAAAGTTTGCAAAGATCTTTTAGCATTGGAGAGATGCAGTGGTGAAAAGTAATCCTGCCAGTTAAATTTTACAAAAGCTGATGGAAATCAAAGAAATATTAAGGCAGGGAACTCTGAGAAGAATATTTGAATCTGATTACGTCAGATTTTAAATAATCCAATTCCATTTTAAATTGGAATATCATGTCCTAAAATATTTTACTTGCCACGAAAACCTGAATATGGGAAAACATAATTTTCAATCTCTTGCTTTTTTTTTTTTTCTAAAAAGCTACACAGAATAGGATGAGACCCATACTGAAATGCTTTCCTCCCTGATTTTTTTTTTTTACTTTAATGCATTATTTTTCAAATGCAATCTTACTTTACAGCAGCTACAAGACAGATTGCATTCCCTTTTTATTATCATCTACATACATACTCAAAATTCCTGGTATATCAAAGAAAGTTTTATGCAAACGGAGTAAAGCAGCAGGACTCATACCTGGCCAAGCAACTGTTCTGTATTTTCTTTCTGTTTTTCTAATCATTATACCTGTAAAAAAGTACTAAGATTGTCTAAATCATCTCAGGAGGTAATTACTATAAGCATAATGAAATATTGTACCTTAATGCACTTAAATCAAATATTGTAACTGAAAGCAATAGGATATAATAAAGATGATTAAACTTTTTACAAAACAAGTATCATACTATTTTTTCAGTACACCATTTGTTTACCACCTGACATTTAATACTCTTCCTCGTTTCTTCAATATTCCTATAATCTCTAGATGCTTCAGCTCCAGAGCACCCAAGATCTACCAGTACATCTCCATGTATGCCACACTTCATGAGTCAGTTTAAAAAAAAAGTTTTGTTACTTGTGCAGTACTAGTAAGGTAAAGCTTAGGTAATTAGAATTTTAATATACACTTTCCAATGGAGATAAATCACAATAGCTCAATCTCTGGACTAGTAGCAGTTGTTTGTAAAGAGTTGCCTGGCTTCACAGAGGCAGCTGGTCATTCTGAAAAAAAACTAAGTGAAAGAGACCATTACAAAGATGAGCATCTTCTCCTGCATACTGTAGTGGTAATACTGGAAAATTAAAGAAAGAATAGTTGATGGAACTTTGCCATTTAGTGTATAAAAGCTGAAAGAATTCTACAAGGTGGATTGTTTTTGCTGTTTCAAGATGTGCAATTTCCCAAATTATCTGACTTTCTACCGAGTTTGTTTTATCCTACTGCAGAAAAAAAGCCAACTCTCCATCATTTTCCTTCCCTCTTCCATTCCTTCTTCTTATGACACCCAGAGCAGAGTAACCAAAATAGGAAATCTGGAATACTTGCTCCCATAATGATTTCAAATCTCAGCTGCTTTGAAACTGGAAGGATGCCAGCCAATTTAGACAGACTATACGATGCATTGTAAGCAAATTAGTCTTTTCTTTAAAAGAGCTTCAAGAAACATTCAATTTAGTTAATTACTGCATTCTGCTTTGTAAGCTAAGAACGAATGGGTTTGGATACACGGTAGCATTGAGGTTTTGCTTTAATTTAAGGAACAGAAATCAATTAGTTGGAAGTGAAGTAGTAAATCCTTCACTTGATCCATCTTTCTACATAAAAGCCTCCGGATTTTAATGTATCCTTTGGTGGCTTTATCTGTTACCTTTTGGTTCATTTGCATACCAGGATGAGCACAGTTTTGTTTCAGCTGCTCTGTTTAGGCTCTCCAGCAGCACAACAGGCAGCCACTGCAGAGATTCTGCTTTGGGATTTACTCCAAGTTCCTCATTTCCTGGAAAACAGAGCTCAGTGTTTCATGTAACGGAAAGCACTTATATTTTGTTTTGATAGGAAAGATAATGAGTGGTAGTGAGACAACGTATGTAGCTAGCCACAGTAGAGGACAAAAAGTTGGTTTATTTTTGGCCCAGCAGTAATTGGCCATATACTCAATCAGAGCATAAAGCTAACAGCAACTGCCGCATTAGCTTTCTGAATAGGTACAAAAAGAAAAGCCAGTAACTTCATCTTACTTATGCTCTAAAACGTATGTTTAGATCAGCAAAAGGCAGACTTCTCTACCCTTTCATGCACGTCCTTGATAAAAATCTATGCTGCTCTTCCATGCTATTAAAGTCAACATGACCTTCTTGAGGTCTTTTGCAAGTTTTCTTTAGAGGAAGATGACTTCCCGTGTTGTTCAGTACCTCTTTAATACCCATTTTTTGAATTATCACTAAAATCTAGTCAAGGTAACGCAGCCTCTGATAATATCACCATGAGCTTAATAGATGGTATTTTAGCCTCTTCGTTTAAATATATCCTTCACATTTTTAATTTCTTTTTCTGGCTTAATGTTAAGTTGCAGACCTCCTTCAACATCACATTTATGACAAACAGAAGCAACTGATGAAGACAAAGTAAGGCCAAACATAAAGGAAGATTTTTGTTGCAATTAAAGCAATTAGCTAGTAGTCAGGTTTTTATGGGTTACTTTCATTAACAGAAGAAACCAATAATAAGGTGACATACTCTTTGATGTAAGTAACAGGATTTCAAAAGACACCCAGAAGTCCTGGCTTCAGAACCCAGCAGACTCTCTATAGGCGGCTGTTTCACCCATCAGAGATCCAAAGTCTCTCTCTAGCTAGCAACAAGTTCCACCGCTTTCCCTCCAGCCCGTCTCGCACAGACCCCAAAGGCCATGCTTTCAGTCTCTCTTGCCTGATCAGCTATTTGGCTATTTCCCACTGCCAACTTCTAGAGGCTCCACTTCCTGAAAGTAACTTAGGATTTTTCTATGTATGAA